TGGTAAATATGTTGGGCTCTTGGGAGTGTGGTGTCAGTGTGATGGGGGTTCTACGTCTTGTGAGTTGGGGAAAAATAGAATGCTTCTTAATCATCATACGAATATTCTGAATGTGTGATCTGTGGCTGGTACTAGGCCAGGTGTTAAAGTCTTAAGGGGGAGAAAAAGCATGCCTGGTTCTTGCTCCCTTGGAACTTAGAGAGTGTAGTTGCGAGAGGCAGGAAGCATGAGGTGTAAGGAATGTTCGGGTCTGGATGGATGAGTATGTTAGAGAGCCATGGGTAGGTTGGAGGTGTGGATGTGTGGACAGTCTGGGGATGTGGAGTGATGGGATGTATGACAAGATGTGTGGTAGATGTGGGAGAAGCTGTGTGTGTGTGTGTGTGTGTGTGTGTGTAAGGGGTGCCTTTCAAGTGGGATGTATGTAGAGGTATTTGCGCATGAATAAACATGGAGGGTAGAGGGCATTTGAGGGGCTGAGGCTGTACGCTGGGGCATTGCTGGGTAACAGCAGTGTTGAAGACTGCTGCTGGAGCTGTGCCGAGCATCTCCTGTGACCTGAGGATGTGCCACTTGTGTCCTGGTACCGCTTAGGCCAGGCCATCTACACCCGCCCCCCACCCCCCGCCACTGCCCATGGTAGCACCAGCTGGACCCAGGATATCCTGGGTGAGAGGTGGGGCTGGGGCTGCAGGGCTGCTGTCTGCATTTTCCTCTTCTTGAGCAAGAGCTGGAGGGTACCTGAGGAATGCGGGTGGAATACAGGAGGGGGGCTGTCGGGCTGAAATCTCCATGTCCACCTGCTATTTCTTCTTTCTGCTACCACCCTGTTCACAAACCCAGGGGCCTCCACCACCTCTATGAATCAAAGGGAAGTTTGGTGGTTACCGGGAGGTCTGGCCCTGATAGAGGAGGGGAGAGGGTGGAGTTTGCTCAGGAAGTGACTTGGGGCCCAGGCTTTCTGCATTATGATCCCCAGTCTTGTCTCTCACATACACACCTATACCTGTGCATTCAGGTACTACCCGGCTGTAGTATCCCCTGGGCTGCTCCTTGTTTGATCAGCCGGACTCTGGGGTAGTCTTGGGTTCCCCAGAGCTGGCTGGGTAGCTGGTTTCAGCAGCCTCTACCTATGGTGCGGAGTTGGGGGCTGGGGTGGCAGGTGAGTGGGGGGCGGGAATGGTTCTTGGAGCTGCCTGGGGCTGGGCTTACCAGCTCCACCTCCTGCAGGCTTTGAAGCGGAAGCCAGATTTGTTCCTGTGTGAACGATTGGATGTCAAAGCTGTGTTCCAGTGTGGTAAGTGGGGCCAGGAGGAGAGATGGGCCTGGGTGCCCCTCATAGAATCCTCAGGCCTCGTCTGATCTACCTCTGCCTCTTCCTCAGCCGTGCTGGCCCTCAAGTTTCCCGAGGCACCTACCGTCAAGGCCTCCTGTGGCTTCTTTGTGAGTCACCTGCTGACCCCCACTCCTCCCCACGTCCGTGCTCCACTTTGGCCTGCCCGGGACTCCAGAGGGTAGAAGTGTCCATGTCTCATCGGAGGCGGGAAGGCACTGGGGCTGATGGGTCTCTCTGTCCTCTGCAGACAGAGCTGCTGCCTCGCTGCGGGGAGGTGGAATCCGTGGGGAAAGTGGTGCAGGAGGACGGCCGTGTGCTGCTCATAGCAGTGCTGGAGGTGAGAGGTTGCCAGTGGGCATCTGACTGCATGCCAGGGGTGGGGGGTGGAGTGGCATCACTGCTGGGGCAGCTGTATTGCTGGGGCTCTTGAGCCTTTTGGGCCCTAAGCTCTTGGATTCTCTTTTGTCCTCAGTTAAACAGCTAGCAGTTGTCAGGGTGGCTGTGGGCATCAGCTGGCTCTCCAAAAGCAGCGCTCCCTTGGCATGTGCAGTGCAGGGCCTGGGGCGCAGCTAGAACTCCTTGCTTCTGAAGGCACCAGGCTCTGGAGTGCTGAGAGCCCCTCTCCTTCAGGCCATTGGGGGCCAGGCCTCCCGCAGCCTCATGGACTGCTTTGCCGACATCCTGTTTGCCCTGAACAAACACTGCTTCAGCCTCCTGAGCATGTGGATCAAGGAGGCGCTACAACCGCCTGGCTTTCCCTCGGCTCGGCTCAGCCCGGAACAGAAGGACACCTTCAGCCAGCAGATCCTTCGGTGAGCAGAGCTGGATGGGTCTGGCTGTGGGGGATGGGGGAGGGTGAGGAAGGGGGGATGGATGATGCCATCCCGCTGTCCTTTGCCTCCCTCAGTGAACGAGTCAACAAGAGGCGAGTTAAGGAGATGGTGAAGGAATTCACGCTGCTATGCCGCGGCCTCCATGGCACGGACTACACAGCTGACTACTGAGGGGTGCCCCTTTCCCATCCACCTCTTCTCACCTCTCCCTGTGCCCAAAGAGTAAAGCTGGACCCGCACTACTGCCTGTGCTTCCTTCATGCTGCCATCACTCAGAAGGAAGCGGGAAAGGCGGGAGGATGTTGGCCCCTGGCATCAATGGGGAGTGGTGGGTCATTCTGTGGCTCTCGGGACAGAAGGAGACTACCGTAACTAGGCCACTGCTCTTGGGGTGGAGTGTGGAGCGGAAGGCTATGGTATGCTCAACCAATCTTCCACACCCATTTGATTAGCCCCAAGGTGCATGCACACATGTGTGTTTAATCAGCAAGGCTGAGTACTAGGCCCCTGACTCTGCCCTGTACAAAAGTAGATACAGTTTGTAACCACCGTGGTAAGCTGGGAGCACAGAAAGGGAAGGGCTGCACAGAGGAATTTTGGTTCTTTTGAGAATAGAAGTCTTCCTAGATCCATTCTCGAGATCCTGGGCTTGATGTGGGTGTCTGCGTCCAGCTGGGAGGGGACAAATGGAGTTCCAGGATGAGTTTCTGATGTGGTTATAGCATAGAGGGTGCCATGAGTGTGTATGCCACAGAGGTGTGTGCGGGGGAAAATGCATTGCCCAGAGGGGAGCAAGGGCAGAACCTGGTATGGGCTATGAACCCATGGCTTCCCACAGGTGTACAATGCCCAGTGCCCATGCTCAGAGCTTGGTCAGGACCAGGGACAGCGCCTGGCTTGCTCTCGTTTCCTCCCAAGGGTTGTCTCCTTGGCTATGCTCTCAGCAGCCCATCCTCCTGTAAGATCTGATCAAGACCACAGCCCTCTCAGCTCCTGTCTGTGAGCTCTGAGTCCTCTGGGAGGTGATGGGAGAATCGATTGCCCCCACATTTACCCAATGCCTTCTCTACCAACCTTTGCCCAAGTTCATGTCTCCATTCTTCCTCATGCAACTTCTTCCCACACCAGCCAGCCTAAGTCCCACTCAGGCACCTGTCATCCCCTGAAGTCACTCTGTCTCATTTTAACCTTAGATTTATCACTTCTCTTGAGGTGAGGCAAGATATTTAACTTTCACTTTTCTCACTACATAGAATCCAAATGGCTTCTGCCCTTCTATCCCTCCTCCCCCCACAGCAAATTTAACATTCATAAAATGTGGAGTGCAGGAAGAGTCCGAAGCCCAGCTTCTGAAGTCAGCAGTACTGTGGCTAATGCTGATGGTGGCACTGGTGTGTTCGTGACCAAGTGGTCCCTTCAAATGTGTTTGCTTGCCTGTAAGATGGGATTGTTCTTCTGCTACAGATAGTAAACACTAAGAATGTCACCTCTGAGGAGGAAGTGTGCAGGTTTTCCTGATGGACAGGCTGCTGGGAGGGGTGATAGACAGTGCTCTCTCTCCACGTCATGTGCTATGGGACAACCTCATAATGTTTTCTATACATGCTTAATTTGGGCATCACAGCAGTCCTCTTAAGAGCTACTGTCAGGACTGGTGCCATGCTGTAACTAGACCGAGCCTCCACCTGTGGCACCAGCATCCCATATAGGTGCCAGTTGAAGTCCAGCTGCTCCACTTCTGACCCAACTCTCTGCTGATGGCCTGGAAAAGCAGCAGAGGATGCCTCAAGCCTCTGGGCCTCTGCACCCATGTGGAAGACCCAGAAGCTCCTGGCTTTGCATCGACCCTGTTCCAGCTGTTGCAGCCATTTGGAGAGTGAACCAGCAGATAAAAAATTCTTTCTCTCACCTGTAACTCTGCATTTCAAACAAACAAAAAAAGATAATAATAAATCTTTGAGAAAAGAGCTGCTACTTTTGTTGTTTGCATGAAGGAGTAGCCCCATTACGTATGCCTTGTTAGCGGCAGAAAACCGAGCATGGGAGAGGAAGGATGCAGTGACCCATTAGCTCTGTGTGTGTACCAGGCTGCACGCATTCTGCGTCTTGCTGACACCTGGGTAAGAAGCCAAACACCGTGGCTAGATAAAGAGCAGCACACCAAAGCTCAGCTGCTTTCTTCCATGCTCTCCTTGTTCCCCCAGCAACAGGTTCTCCTCCCATTTGCAACCCTGGGACCTTCCACACACATTTTGTTTTGGATATATATTTCTATTAAGTAGATGCTCTTGTTCCCTCCACCCCCCCCCCAACTTTGTAGGTAAGGGAAAGGACAGAAACATTACTAAGCTACTCCATAGCAGGTGGCCAAGCACAATATAGAAACCCAAAAGCTGCTAGAGCTACCTGCTTGCTGATAGAATGCTCAAGAAGTGCTCATCATTGACAGCCAGTAAGAGCTGCTCAAACTGGGGCACTGTTCATTTACGAGACAGAAAGAAGGGAAGGCCACCTCCACTGGTTCAATTGGTGTAGTAATTCTTAGGAAGTGTTTCTGACATTGCAATGGGGGACTGTCCAGAGCCTCGGGACGGGTGGCCAGGGGAACTACAAGGCCCACAAGGCTCCGCTCCTTCCTCTGCGTCTCAGACTTGGGCTGATTATTGGCTCTCTCTGCGCGGCTCAGTGACGAGGATTGGAGGGACAGAACGGTGCTGGTTTGGGATTGGTCAGATCGCAACCGGCCACGCCTCCAAATCCCGGAAGCAATCTCCACGTGTAGTAGAGAACGGGAGTTATCACCGAGTGGAGAGGTGTTTGCGGGCAGCGGGTGGCCTCGGACTCCACCTCCCTCCAGGAAAGGACTGGGGCCTCTGTAGGACCCTGGGGCCTGCTGCCGAAGCTGCTAACTCATGGAGTCCACATTCAGCAGCCCCGCGGAGGCGGCGCTGCAGCGGGAGGCGGGAGACCCGGCCCTGCTCACTCCTGTCTCTGACCTCGACCAAGTCTACGAGCTGGAACGAGTTGCCGCGTTCATCGGCGACCTGGACTGTCCACGGGTGAGAGTGGGCGACGGGAGTGGGTATCCTGTGAGCCCGGCAGGTGGACACAGCAGCCCGCCACAGCGTGCGGGCCACCCCCCGCCAGCCCGTCCCCGACTCCACCATGGTTTATACTCACAGGTGGCTTTGCAGTTCCCTGACCGTCTCTTGGGAGACGCTAGGGCTGTGGCTACACGATTGGAGCAGGCCACTGGATCGAAGATGTTCATTCTGGGAGATACGGCATATGGCAGGTGTGGCTTAGGCATCAGCGGGCATTCGGGTCTCGTGGGGTTGCACCGCTACTGGGTGGCCACGACTCCCTTCCCTACCTCTCACCTCCAGCCCCAAGTTAGATTCCATCCCCACCCCTCCAGCAGTTATCTTCCTCCCGGGACACCACTTTCCTCGCCGATCCCATTTCCTACTGATGATGGACGGTGTTTCCCTTGCAGCTGCTGTGTGGACGTGCTGGGTGCTGAGCAAGCGGGGGCCCAGGCCCTAGTGCACTTTGGCCCTGCTTGCTTAAGCCCCCCCTCCCGCCCGCTGCCCATCGCCTTTGTCCTCGGCCACCGTCCCGTGGCTTTGGAGCTCTGCGCTAAGGCCTTTGAAACCCAGTACCCAGACACCACAGTGCCGGTGGCACTGCTGAGTGAGCCGGCCTGCGCCCACGCCATGGGTGAGGTTTCTGCCTGTGCATGTGGGGAGAAAGGGCAAGCCAGGACACAAGGGGCTCGGTCTAGTCTTCACTTTGGGTTTTCATGTAGTCTCCCTGGGATGCGGAGCTTCAGCTTTGCTGAACCCCAGTATTGACACTGTCTTCCTGTTTTTCCAGAGGCCTTGGCCACTCTCCTGCGCCCACGCTACCCGGAGCTACTAGTTTCCAGCCCGGCTCTTCCCCTGCCAGCAGGGTCCGTTGGTCCACAGCCTGAGCCCCTGGAGCGTTTTGGGCGCCGCTTCCCCCTGGCCCCAGGGAGGTGTCTGGAAGAGTACAGTGCTTTCTACGTGGGAGGTTCTGAGGTTGGCTCTGACCCCGACCTTGACCCAGACTTGAGCCGACTGCTCTTGGGATGGGCACCAGAACGGCCTTTCTTCTCCTGCTGCCCAGACACGGGGCAGATTCAGGATGAGGGTGTCCGGGCTGGGCGTCTGAGGGCACGAAGATACTACCTGGTAGAGAGGGCCCGTGATGCCCGAGTGGTAGGGCTGCTGGTGGGCACACTGGGTGTAGCCCAATACCGAGAGGCTCTGGCCCACTTGAGGAGCCTGACACAGGCTGCCGGCAAGCGGAGCTATGTGTTGGCCCTGGGGCGGCTCACCCCAGCCAAGCTGGCTAACTTCCCTGAGATGGACGTCTTCGTGCTGTTGGCCTGTCCCCTGGGCGCCCTGGCCTCCCAGCCTTCTGGTAGCTTCTTCCGGCCTGTGTTAATGCCCAGTGAGCTGGAGGCTGCCTGCAACCCTGCCTGGCCACCCCCGGGCTTGGCTCCCCACCTCACTCATTATGCGGATTTGCTGCCTGGTAAGTAGGGGGCATGCTACCCAAGCTGAGGCGCCTAGTGTAGGCATGGAGTTGGGGACCTGTGTGGATTCTCTTTTCCTATTCTCATCCCAGGTTCTTCCTTTCATGTGCCCCTCCCCCCTCCTGAGTCTGAGCTGTGGGACACCCCAGATGTATCACTTATTTCCGGAGACCTCCGGCCCCCACCTGCCCGGAAGGTACCTGAGGAGACTGGATGCTCAGCCCTGACTCCTCGGCCGCAGCTGGCGCTGGCTGAGAGCAGCCCTGCAGGTGAGTGTGCCAGTGGGCACCCCCCAAGCAGCTCCCTCTCCAGTGCTGCCCACATGATCCTGAACCGCCGCTTTCCTCCACAGCCTCATTCCTTAACTCCCGGAGCTGGAAGGGCCTGGAGCCCCGCCTGGGTCAGACACCAGCGACTGGAGCTGTGAGTGGACGACGAGGAATCGCTATCGCTTACGAGGATGAAGGAAGTGGTTGATACCATGCGGATCCATTCACAAGCAGACTTGTGAATCACTGAGGGCCTTTGGTGTGTCCCGTCAGCCTGAAGAGAGTATGGGAAGAGGCTCCAGTCCCATGCTGCCCTGGAGCTAGCATAAGGGTTGGCATACCCCAGTGGAGGAAATGCCTGTTTGATTGACCAGGGGCAGGGCTTATGGGCTTCCCTGAGGTCTGAGCCCATCTCTCCTGGCAAGTCCCAGCTGCTGGTCCACAGGAAAAGGGCTGCCCCTGGGTAAGGGGAAGGTCCTGGCAGGTGTAGTCCAGCTACCTCCGCCTCAACACGTTAACGTTTGGGTTTTGACGAGTCTACTGTGGGGTCTGTACTGTGCGTGCTGGGCTGTGTAGTAACAGCCCAGTCTTCTGCCCAGCAGCAGCAGCAGCAGCAGCAGCATAAGCAGACACCACCACCCCTGCTGGGACAAACAGAAATGCTTCCAGATGTCCCCCGAGGGTACATAATGGGCTCTAGTTGGGAAGCACTGGTGTCGACTTGCAGGATCCACACGAGTAGCTCCAGAGGGGCCAGCCCAGTGGGGGGACATGTCCAGTGTCACTGCTGGCCAGTGCTGGTCTGCACTAGCTCAGACTGATTTGTCAGGGTGAGCTGAGAAACTCAAATAAAGCAAATCGTTTGTCAGCCTCTGCTTCTTCAGATTCATCCAGCACAGCAGGTCCTGTGGCTGGAAATGTGAATTATGTTTAACCAGGTTCCCAGGCTCTCAGTGCGGCTGGGAGGAGCCATGGTTAAGTCTCCATCACTGCATTGTGAAATAGTTCCACCTGGACAGAAACTAGTGGTGCACAGAGGAACCTTCCAAGGGGTCGTTCCTGAGCTCAACATGATTTTCTTTTTTTTTTAAAGATTTATTTATTTATTGGAAAGTCAAATATACAGAGAGGAGGAGAGACAGAGAAGATCTTCCGTCCAATGATTCACTCCCCAAGTGAGCACAACGGCCGATGCTATGCCGATCTGAAGCCAGGATCCAGGAACTTCCTCCGGGTCTCCCACACGGGGTTGCAGGGTCCCAAGGCTTTGGGCCATCCTCTACTGCTTTCCCAGGCCACAGGCAGGGAGCTGGATGGGAAGTGGAGCTGCCGGGATTAGAACTGGCGCCCATGTGGGATCCCAGCGCGTTCAAGACAAGGACTTTAGCCCCAACGTGATTTTCTTTTTCTCTCCCTCTCCTTCTCTGTCTCCAGAGTTATGCATTTATTGGAAGGGCAGAGTGACAAGGGAAGGGACAGAGATCCTCCATCTGCTGGTTCACTTCCCAAAAGGCTGTAGCAGTCAGGTCAGGGCCAAGCAGGAGCCAGGAACTCCATTTGGGGCTCCCACATAGATGGCAGGGTTCCAAGTATTTGGGCCAGCATCTGCTGCCTTCCCAGGTGCAGCTGGCAGTTGAAGTGGTACCCTAAGTGGCATTAACAAGCAACAGCTTAACTAGCTCTTGTCACAGTGGCATCCATCCTAAGATGGATGTTGTAGCAGAAAAAACAAGTCTGAGGAGAGAAGTGAAAAGCATGCTCGGGCCCAACCACTGGCAGGGACCAACATGGCAGGTGCTCCAAGCAAAGTTCACTTCCTGGACCCTGATGGCCAAGAGGATGCTCCTTCCTGCCATTTGCTGAGTCTCGTCACACTGCTGTGCCAAGGTGTGAAAGACCCAGGTAAATAAAGCTGTGACTCCTTAACTTCAAGGAGCAGGGGGCCTAGCAGAGGCAGAACTATAAATTGGTTGCATGGCATAGTGGTTACCAATCCTGCATTCTACAGAGAGACACCGGCAGTGGTGAACATGACTGAAGTCATGGTGTTAATGGAGGGAGGTGGGTACCAAGTGGCCGTGAGTAAGTAACCATGGAGACTTTAGGGAGTGTTTGCCGAGTGGCAGGTTTGAGTACCTGCTGCTTTGCTTTCCATCCAGTGTCCTGTTCCTGCACACACCTGGGAGACAGGAGATAGCTCAGGTCCTTGGCTCCCTGCCACCTACTGGACACCTGGATTGAGTCCTGGGCTCTTGGTTTCAGCCTGGCCCAGTCCCCACTATTGCAGGCATTGATAGAACGAACCAAACTTCTGCCTTTCAAATAAAATGGAAATAAATTTTTAAACTTAATTAAAGGGAGTATTTGAAAGGGGAGGGTTAGCAGTATTAAACAGAATGATCAGAGAATGCATTAGGATGAAGTGTAAGCAGGGAGCGCTGTGGGTAGCATTTTGCGCTGCTGCCTGAGCACTGGCATCCCATATGGGCAAGTCCTGGCTGCTATGCTTCAGATTCAGCTCCCTGTTAATGAGCCTGGGAAAGCAATGGAGGATGGCCCAAGTCCTACAGCTCCTGCACCGGAGAGACCCAGGCTCTCAGTTTCAGCCTGGCATGGCTATCTGGTGAGTAAGCCAGTGGCTGGAAGATCTCTCTTCTCTCTGTAACTGCCTTAAAAAAAATGAACAAAAACTGAAACTGCAAGTGAGCCACTGAGTTGATCAGGAGCTGCACCAAATAAGTCCAAGGGCAATGAAGTGATGGCTGGAACGGCTAGGCAGGAAGTGCAGCCAGCACAGTTGTCGGGGGTGGACTAGAAGGAGTCCAGTGGAGTGTGCAAAGACCAGGTCTTTTCGGGGTTCGTCATGCCTTTGTAAGAATTCTGGGTTGCTTTGTTTTGTTTTTATTTTTTAATTCTGGTCTCCTACATGAGTGGCAGGGCATCTTCTGCTGCTTTCCCAGGCAGGTTAGCAGAGAGCTGGAGAGGAAATGGAGCAACTGGGACCTGAAGTGTGACTCAGGGATCTCCAGCAGCCCCATTCTGAGTCAAGTGGAAACCATGTGGCATTTGCTTAGGGGAATGACCTCACCTTACTGAAGGTACAAGGAACCCCGGGACACCGTGGGAACATACAGCAGATTCATGGTCCTGCCCCTGGGTTAGGGAAGGCTTCCTGGAAGTGGCCTTGAGGATGGGTAAGATGTTAGCCATTCAACTGGATGAGCGCAGAGGTGCTCTTCGGGAGAAGGACGGCATCCTCCTGGAGTCGGCTACAGAGGAGGCCCGAGGCTGGTCGCTAAGTCAGGAAGACCCGCGAACAGATTCCGGAGTAAAGCAGGGCTCGTAGAGACGGCGCTCCGCATATGAACAAGTAAGCCAACCTGAGCCGCCTCCGAGACGTGAAACTACAACTACCATAATCCTCAGCGCCTGCAGTTCCGGCGTCGTGATCCCGGGACTGGCAGCGACGCCCGGTGAGGTCACGTGCTGCGGGCGCGTCACGTGCGTGGATCAGGTGACGCTGCGGGGCGGGCGGACGGGCTGCGGGGCGGACGGTGGACGCAGGGACGCCGATTTAGCTGTGGCCCCGCCACCGATCCGACCCCTGCCGTTGTTGCCGCCATGACGGGGCTAGCACTGCTCTACTCCGGAGTCTTCGTGGCCTTCTGGGCCTGCCTGCTGGTCGTGGGTGAGGCCGGGTGCCGGCGGGCTTGAGCAGCCTCGGGGCTGGATCGCGGCGTAGGCAGTGGGGTGCCGGGAAGGCTGGGCCCCCGGAGGGGTTCTGGGTCCTGGACTCCGGGCCCCGCCTCGGAGCCCCAGCATCTGCAGCTGCTGGAGGAGGGAGGGACGCGGGCCTCGAGAACAGCAGCGGACCCCTTCTCTGCCCGGCGCCATCTCCCTCGTCTCCTGGCTCTTGTCCTTTCTTTGCTCCTGAGCGGCCTGCTGGGGTCAAGAGCCGGCTGCTCCGGTTCCTCTTTCTCCGGCCTCCTTGCCCTGCCCCCTTCTCCCCAGTTTGTTGGGTAAACAGCGACGCGCGCTGTGCTGGCGGCATCTGGTGGGGCCTGGACAGAGCCACCTGCTCTCCCTCCCCTTCCCTTCCTCCAGGTTTTCCGTCCATGGGGCATTGCTGTGGAGGGTTGGGATCTGCGGTTGGAGGTTTCACTGGGGGAACTCTGCTTGAGGGAGTGGCACAAAGTGGAGGCCTGGGCATTGCATACCGTGCTTCTTGAGGGGGCCAGCCCCCCTCCCCCCCCCCCCCCCCCCCCCCCCCGCCTCTCCCTGACCCGATTGTAGGCAGACGGCCGCGACAGGGGGATCAAGTGCCTAGCTGCTTCTTCAGGTTGGAAAATTTGCCTCTGGAGAGCAGCTCTTAATCCTGTTTTGTTCTCGTGGCTGCAGGAACTTGCTACACCATTTTTGACCTGGGCTTCCGCTTTGATGTGGCCTGGTAAGGGAGAGTGGGAATCTTGGAGTGTAGCCTGTCCACTGCTGGGAACCCCCTCCCAGTGCCCGAGTCTTGGGTGGAGAAGGGACAGGGCTGAGGGTTTTGCGCCCTAACCTCGCCAGGACTGACTTGGCTTTCTTCTGATTCTCCACACCAGGTTCCTGACCGAGACTTCCCCCTTCATGTGGTCAAACCTGGGCATTGGCCTGGCCATCTCCCTGTCTGTGGTTGGGGCAGCCTGGTGAGTGAGTGAGTGTGTGCTGGTGGGACTAGGGGGAGGGGCTGAGTCATGGCAGGTGGTGTCACTGGGTTCTTAGTCACGTTGGGGCCATGAGTGGCTTGGGTTCCGCTCTCAGTGTGTTACCCTTCCCCCAGGGGCATCTATATCACGGGCTCCTCCATCATTGGGGGAGGGGTGAAGGCCCCCAGGATCAAGACCAAGAACCTGGTCAGGTACGTGTGACAGCCCTGGGAAGGTGTGCCCGACTTATAAACAGTTCCTGCTGGAATGGGGAGGCCGTCGGGAAGGGGCTGGGGGCTCCCCTGCGAGAAAGGTTGGGTTCATCCTCATGGCTCTCTGCCTTCCACTCCCCGTCCCCCAGCATCATCTTCTGTGAGGCTGTGGCCATTTACGGCATCATCATGGCAATCGTCATTAGCAACATGGCTGAGGTATGGAAGCTGGAATGCGGGTGGGCATTGGTGCCAGAGTGTTCTGTACTCTGCTTTGGGGCTTTGGGGTGGAGGCCAGGGGGTTGTCTCTGATTCCTTCTCTGCTTCCATCAGCCTTTCACTGCCACCGACCCCAAAGCCATCGGCCATAGGAATTACCATGCAGGTAGGTGGGAGGCCATGTGGAAGCAAGCAGCTGGGGTTCATCATACCTGCTTCCGTGCCCCAGCTGCCACCTACTTTGGCCTGTTGTGCAGTGCTGGGGCAGGGGGAGGGGATTGGCCCCACCAGCCTGTGTTGGGCCTGGCATGGCCGCAGCGTTCCCCTCTTTGTCCTCCTAGGCTACTCCATGTTTGGGGCCGGCCTCACAGTGGGCCTGTCCAATCTCTTCTGTGGTGTCTGCGTGGGTATTGTGGGCAGCGGAGCCGCCCTGGCTGACGCTCAGAACCCTAGCCTCTTTGTCAAGATTCTCATCGTGGAGATCTTTGGTAGCGCCATCGGCCTCTTTGGGGTCATCGTTGCGATCCTTCAGGTGTGGGATTGCCTCCATCCCCCTTCCCCCAATCCCCTCCAGGAGCCTTCATGTCCTTGCCTGCTTCTTAAAGAGCCTTGGAGCTCCCTTTGCTGTCCTTGCAGAACCCGTGCTCATTCCCATCCAAGACTCTCCTGAGTCTTGCTGTCTGATCTGGTGTTGCTGGCTTCTTTGTTGCTTTATGTCTGAGCTTCCATGTAGTCCTTGTTGTGTTACTTTGTGTATCTCTCCTCTTCCTGTTGGGGTCACTGTTTTTTTGTGGTTGGGATCTGCTACAGGTTTGTAGCAGCTTGCTGTTCAGGGTGTCTCTTCGCTGTGGCTTGCCTTTCTGTGGGGCAGAATGTCACCATTGTGTGTTCTTAGTGTGGCCAGGGTTCAGCGTGAGGCCCTGAGTGTGGCTGTGGATGCTTCTCGAGCTCTGTGTCCCATCACCCAACTCTGTTCACCCGCTGGTCTCTGTCCCAGGGTGTCCCTCCTGGACTACCCCTCTTTGGTGGTTTTTCCATCTAACCCTGGGTTGACTGGGTCTGTCTCACCTGCCCCTCTGGCCCTGCCTTATGTCTCCTGTTCTTCTTTTGCAGACCTCCAGAGTGAAGATGGGTGACTAGAGGAGCAGTGTGGCAGGGCGGTGCCCTGCTCTTATTTATTGTCAGTGTCCTGGGACAGCTGGAGCTGGGCCCCTGAGCCTTGCAGGGGGCTTGATGTTCAGGGCCCTCACCACCCATCAAGTCAGAGGCATCACAGTCCAGGCTGACCCCAGCATGGGGAATGGACCGCTGATGGCAACTGTTGGCACAGCACACACCTGTGTCCTCTATCGCTCCCCCAACACACACACCCCTTGTCTCAGTGTTTGTGAAATAAACGTGGTGATTGTCTGGATCAGTCCAGCTTCATTGCCCTCTTGCGCCACCTTTCACAGAGGAAGGGGAAATGGGCACAGCATCAACTCCCTGCCAAGCTCTTGGCAGCTTCTCACTGGGTCCACACCCTTTGGGTGGGGAGATAAGGATGCAGAGCTGAGGGTTCTGATGCCAGGGAGAATCTGCCTTGAAGGGAGTGAGAGGGGCTGGGACGTGGGCCTCTCTGTATGTTTGTGCCTGAGGTCTTGTCCCTTGCCGAGGTGTCATCCCCCTGCCCTTGTGAGGCTGAAGTCCGGCCCCTACCTCCCAAGAGCTGGGTCTGCCCCAGGCTCCCGCCCCAGCAACCTCTGCTCACCCAGATTCCAGGGCCCGCCTGGCTCCACCCACTCTGGACCCATCTCTGATTTTCTCCATCCTACCCATCCTCCTCCAATCCGGACTTGAAGGGTTCTACCCAACCCGTACCCCCCTTTCTGCCGCCTCCCCCTAAGACAACTGGCAAATCCCTGGTCCCCACGGCGGCCTCTACGTCCGAGCTCCAGGCTGTGCATCCCGACCGAATCTGCTCTCCCCGCGCCCCGCTGCCAAGCTTCGCAGTGCACCCGAGCCCCAAGCCAATCTCTGGGACCAATCGGGCCAATTTCCTACAACCTTCTGAACCGACGACCCCTCGGTTTTCCTGCGCGGCCGCCGGCAGGGGCGGCACCAAAGCTGCGCGCGGCGGGTGCGGGCGCGCTGGAGGCGGGGAGCGCGGGGGCGCGCGCGGCGGCCGGGCCTGCCCCTCCGAGGCGCCGTAGCGCGGGAGGGAGGCGGCGGCGCTGTGGTCCGTCGGTCCGCGGGTCCGTGGGTCTGCCCGGCCGCCCGGCCCCGCCCTGCCCCCCGGGGCGGCTCGGCTCCATGGCCCGCGGCGGCAGCGGCAGCGGCGGGAGGCGGCCCGGGGGCCTCGGGGACCGCTGACCCGGCGGCGGGAGGCGGCGGGGCCGGGCCATGGGGGACGGAGCGGTCCGCAGCCGCCGGAGCCGGGAACCCTGTCCGAACCGGAGCGGCGTCCCCTGCTGAGCCCCGAGCGCTGGGTGAGAGGAGGGCGCGCGCGGCTCCCCGCCCAGGGCCCCGACATTCCAGACCCGGCCCCGAGAGGGGCACCCTGAACACGGCCCCCGATCTCCCACTCAGGACCCGGTGAGAGAGGCGCTGGGGCGAGCCCCTGGCCTGGCTTCACCCCACCCCACCCCCATCCCACGGTTCCCCCGGGCTCCTGCGCCCGCCCCCAGCCAGCCTCCCTCATTGTCCTCGCCCGCCCCAGCCTCGTGGCGCGGGGAGGCGCTCCATCCCGTTACCCCTTTAGCCTTGGCCCCTCGCTCCACATGCACACCCCCACCCCAGCCTCCACACCCACTGGGGTCTTCACCACCTCCCCCATCCGTCTCCGGGGTGCCACGTGTGCAGAATTCCAGCCGCGCCCAAGCGCTGCCCTCGCACGACCGCCCAGTGGTCCAGGCTGACCCAGAACCCCTGTCCCCGAGGGAGGGGCGGGAATGTTTGCACGTGGGTCTGGGTGTGAGCCATCTGGGAGGCAAAGTGTGCATGGCTGTGTGAGTCCAGGAGCCATGGCTTGGTGGGTGAGTGTGCCTCACTGTGTTCTGTCACCCCACCCCATGTGTCTGTGACTGTAGTTCTGTGTGTCTGAGTGTGGGACACTTTGGGGGTATCCGTGGGGGCTCTGTGTACCTCAGAGAGAGACTCACTGTGCTTCCTGGAACTCTGCCAGAGGAAGCTTGTTGCCCTGTTGCCACCATGGCGTGGCCCAGGCAAGACCCTTTCCTGTTAGGCTGAGTCAAGTGCCCCCACCTCCTGGCCCCAGCCTTGCCAGGCGAGCCCTGAAGTCTTGGGTGAGAGGGTGGCCCTTGCTCTACCTCTGCTTTGACCTCTCGCCCTAGTGGGACCCCATCCACATCCTGCCCTTATTTGGAACCACTGGTTGCTGAGGGCCACTTCCCAGCTTCAACCCCTCTTTGGCCTGGCCTACTGGTGCTTGTCCAAATGACCAAACCACTTGCCATCATGGTTTCTGCAAGGGATAGATGAAGCCTTGAGTAGAGAGTGCTCTGGTATGAAAGGTAGGCAGTAAGCAGACCCCCGCCCCTCTCTGTGAGCCAGGATCCCCCAGTGGAGGATGCTGTCCTGTGGGATGGCTGTTTTGTGAGGCACAGGTGCACCTGTGAGTCTGTAAGGTAAGAAGTCTTCATGCTTAGGTGCTAACATGTGTGATCAGCGCTCCTGAGTCTGTACTGCTGTGTGTGTGGAGTTAGGAGTAGGGTGTGCCAGAGCAGCAGAGCGTGAGTCGAGGCAGGGATTTGAGCAGGTGAGTGTGAGCCACTGGGCGGGGACTGGGGGCTGGGCTGCTCACCCTGCCCCTGACCCGCGGGTTTGTCACTTTCTTGCCCTGATTAGGCCAGCAGCCGGATGCCCGGGCCCACTGGGCAGGCCGGCGGCTGCCTGCGGGATGAGCAGACTGCTGGGGGGGACGCTGGAGCGCGTGTGCAAGGCCGTGCTCCTCCTCTGCCTGCTGCACTTCCTCGTGGCCGTCATCCTCTACTTTGATGTCTATGCCCAGCACCTGGCCTTCTTCAGCCGCTTCAGTGCCCGCGGCCCTGCCCGTGCCCTCCACCCAGCTGCCAGCAGCAGTGCCAACTGCTCGCGGCCCAACGCCACTGCCCCCAGCTCTGGGCTCCCTGAGGTCCCCAGTGTCAGGCCTCCTGGCCCCACAGCTCCAGTCTTGCCACCCTGTCCTGACTTGCCGCCTGGTCTCGGTGAGCCTGTAGGGTCGGGCCTACCCTTAGGGTAGGAGAAAGTCTTGCCTAGCAGGGAGTGGGGAGGAAGGGAACGAGGGTCCGGGTGTGTTGAAAGAGGGGTTCCCAAGCTGCAGGTGTGGCTGGTGTCCCTGGATTCCGACGGAGACCCTGATTTCTGACACTTTCCTGCCTGCAGTGGGCCGGCTGCTGATTGAGTTCACCTCGCCCATGCCCCTAGAGCGGGTGCAGAGGGAGAACCCGGGCGTGCTCCTGGGGGGCCGCTACACCCCGCCCGACTGCACACCCGCCCAGACGGTGGCGGTCATCATCCCTTTTAGACACCGGGAGCACCACCTCCGCTACTGGCTCCACTATCTGCATCCGATCCTGCGGAGGCAGCGGCTGCGCTACGGCATCTATGTCATCAACCAGGTGTGCTGTTTGTGCTTCCTGCCTGGGCATCAAGGGACCCCCATGCACCTATGGGTGCATCTGCTAATGCTTATGTAGTCGGGTTGGGGTGGTATATGTGGCTCCTGGTCCACCCCTGAGGATGTGGGTTTGTGAATGAACAGGAATGTGCATGGGAATGTCGGTGTGCATGCTGGTGGGCATGTGTGTAGCCTTCAAAGGGGCAAACCCCTCTGCCTGCCTGGACCAGCCCAGGGCTCTGGCGGTGGAATCCTGGGCGATGCTGACTGGGTGGCGCTCTCTAGAGACACTTAGCAGCCACAGTGGAGGCCTGGGACTCAACCCAGCTTCTAAGAAGCCCAGCTGTGGGCCTGGCTGGGGCCATTCGCTCACTGGGTCCTAGGCAGAATCTGAGCAGGCAGTTGCCGCCCACAGGGGACTCTTGCGTTTGACCATAGGTCCCATAGAGTCTGCCAGCACAGCTTGGGCTATGGGAGCACCGAGTGGCCTGGTCCAGTCGTTGAGGAAGTGGCAGAGGCAAACATTGTAGTGAGGGACCTGGGGAACCCTGGGTGAGAGAGCTGGGCCTGTGTGTTTGGGAACCATTGGTGAGATGTGGGGTCCAACATACAGGCCAGGTGCAAAGGGAGGCTGTGCCAGTGGGGAGGCAGCACATTGAGAAAGGTCTTTCTTGGGATGTATGTTAAGCAGTTGGGTTCCAGGCTGCAGGTAGTGGGCACCTCTGGCTAGAAAGATTGCTCTGTTCACATGTGGGGGATGCAGGGGAGGGGGATCTGGTTAGGAAGGGGTGTGTGAGTATGGGTAGGGGCCATGAGGGTAAGTGGCAGACGTGAACACTGGAAAGTGAGGGGAGCAACATTTAGGGTACCCAAGTCTGTCCTGGCCACGGGGGCCACGCCCGTGGGTGTTCTTATGGGAACACAGGATTTGACCCTCTAGTGAGGACTCATACCTGAGGAGTTTGGACACCTGCAGAAAGTGTAGGCAGAACACCCAGCAGGGAGGCCTGCATGCAGAGGGAAAGACCTCGGGTGCTGCTGGGCAGGTGATCCCAGCCACATCCCACGGTGCCAGGAAGCACAGGACTTTAGGAGAGAGAGAGCCAGGCTGCAGAGGCCGAGTAGGCTGGCAGGGTCGGAGGAAGAGATGTGGCGGGCGTCCCAGAGGCCCAGCCATTGGTGGTGATGGCCATGGTGGGCAGGGGACGCATGGCAGCTGCGCGAGAATTGTGGGCGGGCAAGGCGGGGGGATGTGGCCCAAGAAACGTCCAGTGGATTTAGCAACAAGGTGGGCCCAGCAAGAGCCATTTCGGGGGCATGGTGGGGGCGGCAGCAGATTGCAGTGGGTTGGAAAAGGAATTAGATTTGACAAAATGGAAATAACTGATCGGAGACAACTCTGGAAAAGTCTCTGCTGGCAAGGGAAGGCACAGGTGGGGTGGTGGCTGGTGGGAGCCTTCCTCTTCCTCTGTGTGTGTATGGTGGGGGCAGGGGAAGGGGACACAGAGGGAGGGCCATGGGGGCAGAGAGCTAAGCTTGGCCTGAAGAGCCCTAGGGCCTGTGCTGGGAAGGTTGTGAGGAGCCTGGGGCAAGGGGCCCCACTCCCTCCATGGGCAGGGTCAAGAGGGGCTGCAGGAGAGGGAGGGGGAATAGGAAGGGTCAGCTTTTCTTGCCCCATCAGGCTCTGGCTAGCCAATGCTGCTCAAGGGTCCACTCGCCCCTCCAGGCTGGCTGCAGGTTGGATGGTGTGGATTGGGACCAGGATCAGTCCCTGCCTGCCCCTATTCCTGTACCTGTTCTGTTTGGTACACCTGCGAGTACAGCCACATATCCCAGGGAACTGTAGGCTTGCTGCCTCTAGGCTCCCTGCTTGTCATTTGAGCGGATCTAACCCAGGCCTGTCCTGGTCTCAGAGGCTGCCCAGGGTTAGGGGGGGTGGGGTCGGATGTGGCTTGAAGTGAGCTTGAGGGGCCAGAGGGCCTGAGGCTTGGTGGCTCTGTCCCCCATGGCTTCTGCCTCTCAGGCACCGGCCATGTGGGGCACTCATTGTTTAGCTCACTTCGTGACCGTGTGCTCAGCAGGGACAGAGAACGGGGCTGCTCATCTCTGGAATCCCCACTGACACAAAGGCGAGGGCCATGGGGGCATGTTTGATGAATGAGTGAATGAGGCAAGAGCTCTAAATAACAGTGTGAGCAGCCATGAGCCTACACGAAGCCCACAGGAGAGAATGACTAATTGTACCAGGGCCAGGTGGCTTGGTCAAGGGAGCCTGTCCGGAAGCATGGCTGAAAGGCAGAGGGAAGGCATTGCAGGGCAAGAGGGGAGCTGCTGGATCCCAGGTGAGTAGGCAGGAAGCAGCCCAGCCTCTTCTGTTGCAGTGGAGCAAGGCTTTGTGACTGCACCTGACGACCCCAGGCCAGGGGCCAGCGGAGACTGCAGCCAAGTCCTGAAGGGCCTTTGAAGGGCAGAGCCAGTGTGGGAAGCTGGTCTTGATCCTGGGAGTCTGGAGGAGCCACACCTGAGGGAAGGGGCAGGGAGGTCTAGGGACTGGTGAGATGACTCGTGCTGGCTGGTCCCAGGCCCACAGCTGACCTGTCCCCCACCTCCATCCCCAGCACGGCGAGGACACCTTCAACCGGGCCAAGCTGCTCAATGTGGGCTTCCTGGAGGCGCTGAAGGAGGACGCTGCCTACGACTGCTTCATCTTTAGTGACGTGGACCTGGTGCCCATGGACGACCGCAACCTGTACCGCTGTGGTGACCAGCCCCGCCACTTCGCCATTGCCATGGACAAGTTTGGCTTCCGGTGAGACCATCTCCTCAGCCAGAGCCAGACTGCCCGGTCCCAGTGCCCTGCTGGGTCCTTGATCCTCGGTTCTCCCACTGCCCACCTCCTTCTCCTCCCTGGTCCCATCTCTGGTCCTTCCTACTCAACTCCCTTTGGGACCCTTACTGATACCTGCCCTCCCATGCCATAGGCTGCCCTATGCCGGCTACTTTGGAGGCGTGTCAGGCCTGAGTAAAGCCCAGTTTCTGAGAATCAATGGCTTTCCCAACGAGTACTGGGGCTGGGGTGGTGAGGATGACGACATCTTCAACAGGTGAGTGGGCGCTGCGTGGGGCTTAGGCTGGGTGAGTGAAGGGCGCAGTGCTGACTCAGTGGGGCTCCCTGCCCTTCCTGACACCTTCCCCAGGCCATTTGTCTCTGTCCTCAGGATCTCCCTGACTGGGATGAAGATCTCACGCCCGGACATCCGCATAGGCCGCTACCGCATGATCAAGCACGACCGGGACAAGCATAACGAGCCCAACCCTCAGAGGTGACTGCTAGCACCCCTGATCCCAGGTGCCCCTCATCTACCTCACAGTCCCCAGAGGACAGTCCTGTGCACCTAGTCCCTGGTGCCCTAGTCTCCAAGGTTACCTCCTAGTGCCATTGGTTCCCAGAGGTGGGCCCAAGGACCCAGACTCCTGGAGACATCTCCTGATCTCTGTGCCCTATTTCCCAGCTCGAGCCCCACATCTCTGTCACCCCAATCTGGTTTCTTGAATTCAGAATCACTGAGCAGCTTGCATTCCCTGGCCTTCCTCACTCGTATACTTTTGGGGACCTCTGTTTTTACTGGCCCTGCCAGAGCTGGTAGGATAGAAACAATGGGTATTGGGCACAGCTCCTGGGGGCTTTGGCAGAGGAGGTCCCTGCAGGGAGGGGCAGGGAGTAGACATGTAACCCAGCCTCACTGAGACAGTCAGAGCTGGCGGCTCTGTCTTCCACAAGGTCACCACATTGGATGTCGGGCCTGGCCAGGAGTAGGACTAAGGGACCTGTGTGGGTAGACAAGGGCTCCCTGGACTTCATGCTGTTGCCCCTGGGACGGCACCACACTGGGGCAGGGGCTTCAAAAAGTTGCCCACTCAACCAGACGTTCGTTCCATGCTCTTTGGGCACAGTATTGTTATGTTCACCAGGATAAGAATGAAGTGTGGAGCCTTGCCTGTAAGCATCTGGGCTGCATTGTACATGCCAGATGCACACTGAGTGCCTCCAGCTGTGTGGTTCTAGGATCACTGAAGGGGGCCATGCTGAGTGCTAGGGCGTCTTAAGTACCAGTATCCATCTTGTTCTGGAGGTACTAGGGAGTCGTGGGAGGGCCTTACACAAGGAGGAGCAGGGTGAGATCTGTATTCAAAAGGTTCACTCTTGGAGCTGCAGGAAGGTGAAGATCTGGCCTAGCTTCCAGGTGGTGCAGGAGAGGAAGTGCACTGGGTGGGAAGGACTTAATGGAGCCCAAGGAGGCAGGCTGGGGTGAGGCCCTGGGAGGTTGCTGTGCTCCCCCATTGGGAGAACAGGGTTCTCTGAATGGTGTAAGCATGGAGGTGGTGTTGAGCAGAATGGTCCCGGTGGGGGAGACCCAGGGGATGCAGGGGTCCCAGAGGGGCCCCAGGGGGTCCAGAAGATCTGAGAGAAGGGAAATTCAGATACAAAGCATAGTTAGCAGGGAAGGAGGGGTGGCAGATGGGGAACACAGAGGCTGCAGGGCATCAGAAGGAGAGGGCTCAGTCCTAGGCCAGTGTGTGGTGGTGGTGGTGGTGTGTGTGTGTGTGTGTGCGCGCACTGAGCCCACGGGGAGGAGGGGAGCTCTGTAGGCCCATGCCGGGAACCTTGCTCCTGTTGCTGGAATAGCTTGCCTGAGTGCCATCATCAATTAGTAATGCCTGCCTTGGGTGTGGGCAAGACAAGACTCGCCAGCAGTTGTGGCTTAAGGAACTCTGGATGGCAGTTCTGTCAGCCTGGTCGCTGCTCCCTTCAGCCTAGGAGTTTTGCACGCTTCTGTCTCTTTTCCTACATGTCACACCATCATTGTCTCCCAAAACATGTGAGCCCATCCATCTTCCCCATTACCCTGACACTGGTCTAGCCTCTGGTCTTGCCTGGACTCCCGTGGTGGCCTCTGCTGGGTCCTGTGCACACCCTGTGTCTTCCCCCGCTCCCCCAACTCCCACATACATGCATGTGCCAGCTGAGTTAATCCCTTGGCGTCATCTCCTTCCCAGAACAAGCTCTGCGCTAACCCTAACTTCTGGAGCGCTGCCCACACTGGCGTGAACCTCCATGTTAATTCCATGTTTTGCTTTGCTCTAACCACACAGCCTTGCAAAATCTTCCTGCCAGTGTAGGATCTGCAGGTGCCCTGACCTCTGCCTGGAATGTCCTGTGTCCCTCACTTGCAGCTCCGTGTCACCCACACACACACATGCACACACACGCACACACACATACACCACGCTTCTGCAGCAGACACCCTGTACCCTGAGACCCTGAGTGCCTCCAGGGGTCTTTGTGTCCCTTAATCACTTTCCCCCCGCCCTCTGTGAGGCAGGTTTGCTGTCAGGAAAGGACGTTACCCTGCCTGTTCATGGCCATGCCCCTGGTACTGTCAGGTCACTGGCTGGCATACAGGGAGCACTCACAAAATAGATGGTGACAGAGTAGCTGCAGAATGGGGACTGAGAAGATGGCTTGTCTGACCTAGGGCACATGACCTTCGACGTGCCTGCAGGTCTTGGGCATGGAGGGAAGGCCTGAACAGAGAGATCTGTTTGGCTGTTTTAAGCAGCCTGGCAAATGCAAGCCCACCCCAGGGCTCCTGGCAGGTTACCCCTGAGGCAGCTGAGATGGCCTGAGCTGGGCCCCTCGAATCCCTCTTGGAGTCAGTGGCTAGCCCTGATGTGACCCCATCTGCATCCCCATTAGGTTCACCAAGATCCAGAATACGAAGCTGACCATGAAGCGGGACGGCATCGGGTCGGTGCGGTACCAGGTGCTGGAGGTGTCCCGGCAGCCACTCTTCACCAACATCACAGTGGACATTGGGCGGCCCCCAGCGTGGCCCCCCCGGGGCTGACTCATGGACAAGAGGCTCTTGGTGCCAAGGGGTGCCTGCCAGTGAACTGACCCCAACCTGGCCAGCAGCCGTTCTGCGGGTTATTCCCCCCAGGACTGAGACTGGGGGCTCTGCTTTCCGAGGAGCCTCAATAGGTCCCGCGGTGGCACCTGGAAATTTCAGAACCCACTCGGGTGCATCCGGTCTGGGCAGGCCCCTCCTTCCTGCCCCTATTCCTACACCCCCTCCAGCCCAGCCCAGCCCCCACTCACTGTCAGGGTCGGGCCAGCCCCTGCACTGCCTCGCGGAGTGGCCTGGGCTAGGTCACTTCACCTCTCTGTGCCTCAGTTTCCCCCCTTGAGTCCCCTAGGGCCTGGAAGGGTGGGAGGTGTGTGACTAGAGGGCAGCGTCTCTTCCAGGGGGAGGGGATCCTCAGACCTGGGGAGTGTCCCCCCTGTGCTCCCAGGGGAGGGGAAACCTTTTTCACTCAATATTGTAGGGGGCAAGATTTGGTGTGCCCCCCGCCCTGCCGAGGAGCAGCCCAGGAGGGGGCAAAAGGGGGTGCTGTGTTGCTGCCTAAGTTTTGGGGCTGGTCTTTGCATGGGGGGACGAGCAGGGCTTGGATCCCTCTACCTGGTTCTCGCCTCCCCAGCTCAGAGAAGAGGCAGTGGCCCCAGGGCTGGCTCGTGTTTGTACATTGCACAGAACCTTGTGTGGGTGCTTTAGTAAAAAAAAAAAAAAGGTGAATGGAGCAGCCCCCTTTGTCTTTGCAGGGACCGGGAGCAGCTAGGTCTTTGAGTCATGCGAGGCGAGCTGTGGTGGGGCCCTGGCCTGCCTGTTGCTCTGGCAAGGGCCGCCCTTCCTCTCCCTGCATTCAGTAGAACTCACTGGTGTTAGGGGCAGTTTATCCACCCAGGATTTTTCTACGTCTACCACACCCGCAAGCCCCGCCCACCCGCGGATTCTGCCAGGCTTGGGGGGGGGGCGGTGCCTGGGGCCGCGGCGTGGTTTCCCGGGTGACGGCCACAGCCAAGAGGCTGGGCTGAGGCCTCGCTTCCCACGGGCGGCTGCTGGGGTCGTGGCTGGGAGTCTTGGCCTCCTGAGTCCACCAGAAGCCAAGCAGAAGAGGCAGAGCCGGTGAAGAAGGGGTTCTGGGCGGCGTAATTTCCTTGCGTGGCCAAGCAGGAGCCGGGCCTGTGCACTGTAGGCAGTGCCTGCCCCGGGGACTGGTGGCTCCTGTTGAAATCCTGCATCCGAACCTGCTGTCTCGCAGGTGTGAGCGGTGACTGTGCCACGGGCGGGTCATGTCCCGGGACTTTGTGTCGCTGTGGGAGCTGGTGGAGGAGCACATTCCGCCCCCGGAGCGGCTCGAAGTGAAGAGGGTTCTAGGGGAGGCGGTGGTGGACCTGAGCCTGGAGCTGCGGGCAGAGGTGGGGAGTGCGAGTGGTCCACGCCCCAGGCCTGCACCGCAGCGGGGTGGAGGGTGGGATTATTTCTTCTTCTCCAGCACACCCCATGACCCCCCTGTGCCCGGTCTGGCTTCGCCCCCTGGCCCTCGTTGTCCCAGCCCCGTGCTCTCCTCACCTTGCTCCCCAGTGCCAGGCATCCCAGCTCTCCTTGCAGGTAGCGACGCTGTGCGCTCTGTGCCAGGAGGCTCGTGCCTCCCATGCCCCCGGCTCCCGCCCCTTCTCTGACCCTGCCTCACTTTTGGCGCCGCCGCCCCACCTAAGGGAACTGGTGCGTCAGGAACTCCGGCAGCTGCTCCAGGGTCTTCGCCACAAGGCCATCTGCGAGGGCAGGTGGGAGCCTCTTCCCCCAGAAGGCAGGTGGGCTCCCCCTGCTGTGGCTTCCTTCACATTCGCCTCCTGCAGGGACCAGGCCCAGGCGTGGGTCCAGTATAGTCCCCGAGTCCTGCGCTTTGCCTTGGAGGAGCCCAGGTGTGCTCTGTCCGACCAGGGGTCGTTCCAGTTCAGAGTCGATGACAGCAGGTAAGATGGCAGTGAGAGGAGGGATTGGTCCTTGTCGACAAAGGGTCCAGCCAGCTGGTGGGTGCCACTGGGTTGCCCAACCTGGGGGCGGGGGTGGATGGGGCAGGTCAGTCTTCCTAGAGAAAGTGACTCTGGAGAGCAGGAAGTGAGAGAGGAGAGCTTTGTAAAACATGTCAGGTTCATGCTGCACCTGAGAATGGTACCAGGCTGGGCTGGAGAGGCAGGGAAGCATAGGCAGGGAGCCACAGTGGGATTTACGAGACAAGACGGTGTAAGATGAACTGACAGCTGTGATTTCTTAGCCCAGTCCTTCCACGGCCCTAGGTTGGGCCATGTCCCTGTTTTTGCAAACGAGAGACCTGAAGGCTCAGAAAGGACGCGTCAGGGCTGGAGTCGTAGCGCAGTGAGTTAAGTTGCTGCCAGCAACACCAGCATCCCGTATTGGAGTGCCAGTTTGAGTCCCAGCTGTTCCATTGCCAATTCAGCTTTCTACTAAAGCTCCCAGGAAACCAGTGGTTCCTGGCACTCCTGTGGGTGACCAGGATGGAGCGCTTGGCTTCCTCCTGGCCCAAACCTAGCTGGCATAGTCATTTGGAAGGTGAACCAGTGGGCAGAAAATTCCATCCTCCCGCCCCTGTTTCTGAAGTCACTCTCTGCCTTTTGAATAAATGTTTTTAGAGAAGACAGGATATGCATTTGCCTAAGGTCATGCACAGTGAGGGCTGGTGGAAGGTCTTCACAAACCCAGAGTCCTGCTCCACACTGGTAGGAAGCCTTGGGAAGAAAGACATAAACTTGTTTAGGAGACGTAGCGTTGGTGTCCTAAGGTCTGGGGGGCAGGGAGGAGGGGCACGGCACAGGTCAAGAAGTGGGGACTTCATCTGCCAGCAGCAGGGACCTCAGTGTCATCAAGGACCAACTGAACGTGGCTGACATTGACCAGGTCGCTGCACACCTGCGGTGAGGCCTTTGGGCACCCGAGAGTATGTAGGTGATGGACTTGGGGGGTGCTGGGACTGTGAATGGGAAGGAGATGCAGGTGTGGGAGGCTGAGCAGTGGGTATGGGCAGCCTGCTGCCAAGCTCAGGCCAGTGTGCCGGTATGGGGGCTTGTCCTGATGCTGTGTGGGCGGGTTTAAGCAGGGTCATGGTCATGCTGTGAGGGAGGATGCGGGCAGGAAGGTCGTAGGCCTGGGCGGGGAGGAGGATGGTGCTTGCCAGGATGGGTGCTGGGTATGAGTAAGGCAGGGCAGGAGATTGGTGCAGGTGGCAAAGGGCACTGTGAGCTCCCAGGGAGTCGTGTGGGCCCCTGGGAAGGCTGGTGGCAGGGCATGGGCTGGGCTCTGCTGGTTCAGGCCCTGATGATCTTCGGCTCCCAGGGGCCTTCTGGAGGAGGAGTGTAACACCTTGCAGGAGGAGATCACCATGCTGCAGGTGAGCCGTTACCCCAGGCCTCTCTGCAGGGCTGCTCTGCTGAGTGTGAACGTGTTTGTGGACTTCTCGCCAGGGTGGGGCTGGTGACCGGTTCCCACCTGTGCACGCTTGTGAGTGGGAGAATCCCGTGTTCTGGTGGAGCCCTTCCGTGTTTGGCTAGCTAGTTTAGCTTGATCTGTGGGATTTGCCCACAGGGTTTTTTGCCTCCTTCCTTCCTTCCTTGGGCCAAGTCTGGCCTGTGCCCAACCACCGCCTCTCAGAGTTGGGCACTTCTGGTGTTCTGCCTGGGGACTGCCCCCACGAGGTTGGGCTGAGGGTGCTGCTGCAGGGTACGGGTCCCTGTACTCCTCTCCTCCCCGACCCTGCAGCTCTCAGGCCAGGCCCTGACCGTGCTCTCTTGGCAGCGCTGTCTAGAAGAGGAGTTCACCAGGGCCTGCCAACCACCTGAGGCAGCCCTGGAGCCCACCCTGACAGGTGAGACCCTGGCAGGCCCAGAGCCCCCAGCCCTTGGGAGAGGCAAGCCCTGGACCTTGGCTCTTTTTCTTCCTTAGAGCTGAAAGAACAGAAGGCAGCCATGGTGCGGGAGCTGCAGCTCTCTCTTCAGCCTTCCCCTTTCTCTGCCAGCCACAGGTAAAGCCAGGCAGGTAGCTCACAGGTTGGGCAGGGGGTGGGCTGCAGGGTCAGGCTGATGGCCCTGGCGGTAACTCCCCCACCTACCCAGGCAGCCAGCCCCGGACCCCTCCAGCCGGTGCCTCAGGCCTTACCCTCGCCTCCCTTGTGGGACCACTGAAGCTCAAGCTGGGCCTCTCCAGTGCCACCTGCCTGTACCACCTTTGGAGCACTGCCCGCGGCCCCGGGGCCAGGCTGCCCTCTGCCGCTGGGGTCGAAAGCTCCAGTACAGCCCCCGGCAGCAGCCAGCCGCCATGCCAATGTCCAGTGTGGCACCCCAGGCCTCAGCCTGAGGGCCAGCTGCAGAGCAGGCTCCAGCTTGGGCCAGAATTGACCTGTGCACTACCACCACAGCCACCCCTTCCCAATGCCCGGATGCATCTGGGAGGAACCCCCCGAGGCTGGCCCTTGCCCCCTCCCCACCATGTTCTTGTCGTGTCTGGGCCCTCAGGGCAGGGAGATCCATGTTTTGATCCTTCTCCTCTTGGGCCACAGCCGAGGCCTAGCAGACAAGAGATCCCATCTCAGTCCTGACTCCTGTATCCCAGGGATGCCCAGACAAAACATCACAGTAGCCCAGGACAGGAATAGAAATTTCATTAAAACCTATGGACTTGAAACTCCTAGTGGTGCACAGACGGCGGGGGTGGGGTGGGGGCAGGGCACCGTTATTGCTACAGAGGATTAGAGGCAGGTGTCATTGCACAGAGGGCCTGGAGGACGGACAGACGGACACCGTGGGGCTCAGGAGAAGGAAGTCTGGCTCCAGAAAGGGCTGGGGGCACATGGGCTGGGGCCATTTGGCACATGAACGAGGGCAGCACGCCAGGGAGGACGGGGCCTTCAGCCTGGGGGAGTGGGGAGGGTAAGGGGCTGTGCAGGGTCCCCTTCCCCAGGGTCCCTGGGCACCAGCCTCCTGCTGAGTAGCCCCCAGCCATGCCCCCTGGAACAAGTGCTTTGGGCAGGCTGTGGGGCCCCTTGGCCTCTGCTGGCTGGGCCTGACAGCCAGGCCTGGAGTGCATGGCCGAGGGCCCAGAGCAGCCGAGTGAGGTGCAAGCAGGCCTGGAAGACACGGCTCAAGGCAGGGGCCTGCAACCACAGGTCAGACAATGTTTACAAAAATAATCAACACAGACATATGGAGCTGGGCCAACCACCAAGGGGCACTGGATGGCCCATGGCCCCTCACCTATCCCCTGCAGCCTGGGCAGAGGCTCGAAGGGTGGGAACACTGGTCACAAGGCTGGAGACCCAAGGAAAGGGGGCAAGTGGCCTCCCCTCTCCCAGACCTCAGCTCAGAGCAGAGCGAGGGGGCATCAGAGGCTCCATGAAGCCTGGCAGGCCTCTGGGGACCTGGCCCAAGGACCCCTCCAAAGTGCTTGGCCCCTTTCCCCCCACCCCCTGGTAACCCTCCCCTCACCCCTCCCCCAAGCTGCCATCTTGGCATCCAAAGGACGTGTAAACACTGGGGACACGAGCACGAATGACCACACTATCAGTGGTGGCCAAGGTGACGGCAGCCGTCCTGGCCAGGGTGTGGCAGGGGGCAGGTGGTGACACCTGTCCACAGTTTTTCCCCATCCCTGTAGTTGGGAACATGGGGTAGGAGTGGGTCTACCCCCTCCAACCCCGGCATCTGTGCTCATATCCGGGAGTCCTGGAGGCGGCTGGAGCCGTTACTGCCCACCATGGGGATCTGGGCCTTGTCCGGGTGCAGCGGCTGGACCTCAAACCCATCTTCAGGAGAGGGGGTGATGGTGGGGGCATAGCGCCCAGTCCGGTGCTCCGGGAGGGCGGGGCCCCAGTCTCTGCTTGGCTTTGTGGCATTTTTCAGACGCTGCATGGGATGTGAGGGGCAGGGCAAGCCAGGAGGTCAGATGGGAGCCCTGGCCTCCCCATCCAGCCACCCTACCTGTTCCAAGCAGCTGCCCAGCAGTCCCCCACTCCTCTCCCAACCCTCACCTGGACGAGGCTATCCCCATCCGTGCGGCAGAGCTTGAACAGGGCATAGAGCGGGATGCAGATGACTGAGGACAGAGCCATGAGAAAGCCAACGGCCACGGCCCAGCCTGGATACTGGTAGTGGTTGTATTTGATCGGCTGGTACTGGATCACCGTGAAGATGAGAATGAACTGCAAAGGAAGTGGAGGAGTCGGCAGGAGGCTCCTCCCAGGGCCCAGGCCTTCCCCCCTATTTGTACTCCTTCCTCTCCTCACCCTAGCAAGCAGCATTTAGAGCAGGGCAGAGGCACCTGCAGGAGCAGGTGGCACTGGCAGCAGGTACGACTCCTGACGGCCTACTGCCTACTGTCCCTGGCCTTTTGGCTTTCCCCTTGGGACGTGATCCCAGTGAACCCCCCATCACACCCACCTTGGTCTCAGCTACAGTACTTCCTTCTTTCTGTTTATTTTTCCCTGTATCTTCCTCTGTCACACCTCCGTGTGCCACGGCCACCACCTGCTAAGCTGCCCTGGGCGCCCTCTGGCATCCCCCATACTCTGCCTACAGTCTCTTTCTTTGCTGTTCCCCATGGATGAGGTGGCTCCTAGGATCCTAGCAACTTGGGCTGCAGTGCCCAGCACACTGCCTGGTTTGGTCTCCTTTGCTGACCTGAAACAATTTGAATGGCGAGGCCACAGAGAAGGCCCTGCCTGCCTGTGGCTGCAGACTGTGGCCTTCTGTCTGGGGAGGCCTCAAAGGGTAGTGGTTAGTGACCAAGCTGTAGGCAGAGTGAGATGGGACAGCAGGCCTGCAGTCGGTAGGGGGCTGTAGCACCTCGGGGTTATGCCCCATCTTGGACCACTCCCATCCCTTATGGGAGAGTCCTGGCTGTTCCTCTTCCAATTCCAGATCCTTCCTATTGTGCCTGGAAAGGCAGCAGACACTGGCCCATGTGCCTGGACCCCTGTTACCCACGTGGGAGACCTAGATGGAATTCTGGACTCCTGGCTTCAGCCTGGCCCCAGCCCTGGCTGTGGTGGGCATTTGGGGAGTAAAGCCATCGATGAGAGAGTTTTCTTTCTGCTGTCTGTCTCTTCCTTTCTGTTTCTCTGCTTTCCAAGTACATGAAAATAAATTAACACACATACATAAATATAATCTGCAACAACAAAAAAAGGCCATGGGAGGCAGAGGCTGGGAAGCGGGTCAGGGGCCTCCCGGCGGGCCCTAAGTGTGCACCTTCACTTGCCAGCTGGGCCTGGCACCCACTATGGAGCATTTAGCTGTGTGTCCTCTGGCCTTCTTTTTCTTTTCTTCTTTTTTTTTCTTAATGTTTGTTTATTCTTATTTGAAAGGCAAATTTTGTAGAGAGAAAAAAAATCTTTTAAAGATACGGTGAGAGGTCTTCCATCCACTGGTTCATTCCCCAAGTGGCTGCAACAGCTAGAGCTGAGCTGATCTGAAGCCAGGAATCTCTTCTGGTCTCCCACATGGGTTCAGGGTCCCAAGGCATTAGCCCATTTCTGCTGCTTTCCCAGGCCATAAGCAAGAAGCTGGATCATAAGTGAAGCAGCCGGAACACGAATCAGCACCCATATGGCATGCTGGCACCACAGGGTGGAGGATTAGCCCACCATACCACTGTGCCACCTTGCTACCCATCCTCCAGCCTTGCTTATGGGCAAATTCTAGAAGACAGGCCCACATATAATTGGGGTCCACTCCTGGAGTGCTGTCTATAATGGGAGCTTCATGACAAGCTTTCTGAGTAGAGCTAGACCATGATCCACATGTGGGCAAAGCCCTTGGTTAAGCTGAAACAAGGATGGAGTTTGTTTAAAAGAGCTTTGCAGGGGCCCAGCGGCGTGGCCTAGCAGCTGAAGTCCTCGCCTTGAACATGCCAGGATCCCATATGGGCACCAGTTCTAATCCTGGCAGCTCCACTTCCCTGCTTGTGGCCTGGGAAAGCAGTTGAAGACAGCCCAAAGCCTTGGACTCTGCACTTGTGTGGGAGACCTGGAAGAAGTTCCTGGATCCTGGTTTCGGTTTGGTGTAGTACCGGCCGTTGCACTCACTTGGGGAGTGAATCATCGGACGGAAGATCTTCCTGTCTCTCCTCCTCTATGTATATCTGACTTTCCAATAAAAATGAATCTTTAAAAAAAAAATAGCTTTGCGGGCTCGGCGGTGTGGCCTAGCAGCTTAAGTCCTTGCCTTGAACGTGCCGGGATCCCGTATGGGTGCCGGTTCTAATCCCGGCAGCTCCACTTCCCATCCAGCTCCCTGCCTGTGGCCTGGGAAAGCAGTCGAGGATGGCCCAAAGCCTTGGGACCCTGCACCTGTGTGGGAGACCCAGAAGAAGTTCTTGGATCCTGGCTTCGGATCGGCATAGCATCGGCTGTTGCGCTCACTTGGGGAGTGAATCAACGGATGGAAGATCTTCCTCTCTGTCTTTCCTCCTCTCTGTATATCTGACTTTCCAATAGATAAATAAATCTTTAAGAAAAAATAGCTTTGCAGGAACATGAAGAAGTCAAGAGACAGGGCCTGGTGCAGTGTTGAGGAGGGCTAAGCCACTGCTTTCAACACTGGCATCACACGCACAGCAATTATTGAATCCTGGCTGCTCCATTTCAGATCCAGCTTCCTGTTAATGTGTCTGGGAAATCAGCAGAGATGGCCCATGTGCTTAGGACCCTGCCACCCTTGTGGGAGAATTCTGCATTTTAAAAAATATATTTATTCGAAAGGCAGCATGACTTACAAAGAGGAAGAGACAGATCTTGAGAGAGTCTGTCCACCTGCTGGTTCACTCCCTAAATGATGGCAAAGGCTGGGGGCTAGGCCAGGCTGAGGCTAGGAGCCAGGAGCTTCATCCAGGTATCCTATACAGGATCACAGGCCCAAGCACTTGGGTCATCTTTAGCTGCTTTCCTAGCATATCAGCAGGGAGCTGGATCAGAAGCAGAGCATCTGGGACATGAACTGGCAGACATATGGTATGCCAACCTGGCTGGTAGTGACAACCTACAGCATCTCCGTGTTGGCCCTGCTGCCTTTCCAATAAATAAAATACCTTAAACCAACCACAGTACAGCACAGAAACAGATGTGTGCACAGGGCCTGGAGCACTCCTCTGCAGGTAGCCCTGCCTGGCTTCCTGGGCACAGACAGGGCCCTGCCCATGTTGCCTGACCTCATGGGGACATCAGATGGAAGCCAAGGCTGACTCTGCAAACCCTCCTCATGTTCTCTCCAGCCTCCCGCCCTCGCAGGTGCCCCAGGTCTGTGTCCATTCTGACCACCATTCTCCCCTCTGTGGCTGTGGAGGCTGAGACCCCCTCCGCAAGCCTGGGGTCCAGCCCAGAGGGCCAAATACTTGGCAGAGGTGCTCGTCCTCACCGACTGCCTAACCATGTTTCAGAACTTGTGCTCTGGGCCAGACTGGGGAGACACTGCCCCATGCCCGTGTGCTGTAGGCCTCAGTCCTGCAGGGCTTGCTCCTGCAGAAACACGAGCGTGGACCCCAGTGAGGCATGCCCTGCACATGGGGAGGGGGAACCT